CTGCTGTGTTAGAATAGACACAGCGGGTAGCTTTAAGTGGAGTCCCATTTTCAACAATTGGGATGCTGTGAAAAATATAAATAACAGAATTCAATAATGTGAAAATCTTTTATACCATATGTTTAATTAAAAAATTGTACAAAGAAAAGATATCAGATGTCCAAATCAAAAAAAAAGGGAAAAATGTTGAATTTAATTCCAAGATTGAACAGATTGTCAGTTGGACATGTCTCTAACAGTCTTTTCAGCTCATGTGCCGAATGTTATCAAGAATCGTGTCCTAACCTGGAAATAAATAAAAATTGCATAGCCTTTGATTTTCTGACCTTTTAACTTAAAATCTAATAATAATAATAGTATCATAGGCTTTGATTCCAGACCTTTTAACTATAATTTTGCTTTATTGTTGGTGTCTTGATGTTTTAGAGGCCCATAAAAAAGCTCCTCTCCTATTGCTTGAACACCTCAGCATCTCCTCCAGTGATGGGAGCAGGGTTCAAAATAAAAAGCAACTCACAGTTGTAAGACCCAAACGTCCGTCAGGCAATGCCTCTCAAAAACACAAACAAACTCTGGCATCAGACTTGTTGGAGTTTTTAACTCATGGTGAGTTTCAACTAAGCAGGTGCACATGTTGCTGTTTTTCCACTGTTGCTGTGGGGCATGCTTATTTATCTGCTCCGATCCCTGTGGTAAAGTTGGTAGCCAGCTGTTTAACAGTGGCCCATCACGCTAGTTATTTATTTATTTATTTTTTGTATTGTTCTGAAAGCACACTGTTGAGCAGACCAGCAAGGGAGGACTACAAGGAAGAATTAGCTTTAAAGGCTGCTGCTACTGATGATGAAGTTTGGTGACAGAGTTTTACAGACGTATGACGATATGCTGGGAAGAAGTATTTTTTCCCTCAATTCTTCCCCCCCCCCCCCCCCCCCCCCCCATTTGTTACACTTACATGTTTCCAATCGCCAAACATAATTTTAAAAGGAAGTTGTATAATGATCTAATTTATTAGCAGAAAAATGGTATCCAAACCTAACTGGTCTTACGTGAAAAAGTAATTGCTCTGCCATGTTAAATCATGAATTAACTGTGATTAACTACATTTTTTGGAAAGCAACTCAAATTCACTGGCCACACCCAGGTCCGATTACTGCCAGACCTGTTCAATCAGGAAATCATCTAAATAGAACCTGTGTGACAGAGGTGCAGCGCAACACATCATACCACAATCTCAAGAACAGAGGAGGAACAATAGTCACTGACATCTATCTGTCTACAAAGCCATTTTTAAGCCTTTGGGACTGCAGCGAACCACAGTGAAAGCCATTATCTACAAATGGAGTAAACTAGCGGCAGTTGTGAACCTTCCCAGGAGTGGATGGCCTACCAGAATTACTACAAGAGTAGCATCAATGACTCGTCCAGGAGGTCACAAAAACCCCAGAATAGCATCTAAAGGTCTAACTTGTTTCATTTAAAGTCAGTGTTCATAATTCAACAACAAAAAAGAGACTGCCCCAGTGTCCGTGGCAAAGTAGCCAAAAAACATCTTGATGATCCACATAACTTGTATGCCGTGGACTGACGAGACAAAAGTTGAAATTTATGGAATGTTTGAGTCCCGTTACATGTGGCATAAAACTAACACACCATTTTATAAAAAGAACATCATACCATCACACCTGGTGGTAGTGGGGCAGATATGTAGGGGGGGGGAAGCAGAAAGAGGGGGAAATACTTTTTTCACAGCCTTGTGGCTTTTAATTTATTTTCCAGGTTTGTTGAAGAAACACGATACATGTTAAGAAACCGTTTATTTAACAGAAGCTGTTTAGCCGCAGCGTCTGACTCGAGGAATGGCAGTGTCAGCACTGAGCCTGTCTGCCTGTCCGCTGTTTTGGCCACAAATAAAATGTCCAACGCTCACTGCAAAGGTTCCCATGAAATTTGGAACTGATTGTCCCCCGAGGATATTCCTCATATTTTTCCCATTCCCTCTTTCACGATAAAGCTCACATCAGTGGTTTTAAGTAAATTGTCTCACCAACTATGAAAAGGGAGACATTTGAGGCACAATTTAATGCCCCTACTAGAGTTACCTAAATTTAGCACTTTTATGACTTTTTGCCACATGTCATCAACAGGTCAAAACTTGCTTTGCAGCTGATTACAAACTAAACTGGTGTCACCCCTTCATCCTTGGCTATACCTTACTTTAAGTGCTAAGTAGCAAATATTAGCAAGGTGGCACCCTGTTAAACATTAGTATGTTAATACATCATTACAGTATGAGTATGTTAGCATGCTGACATTAACAATGAAACGCACACGTGCTCATTCTTGATGAAGTTTCAAAGTACATGTGAAAGTCATGCATAATCACCTCGGACAGGTGTCCACTATATTTAAACCATATGCAAGCAAGTTCTACTGGGGATCAAAGGAGCCCTGCTCACCACATTTTTAAGTATGTATACTGCACTTCTAGAATATATCAAAATATGTGAAATATATTCGCTCATCTTCATAACTGTCAGTCAAAGACATTATCCTGTGAGCAGCCAGCAGCCTCTCATTATGCAAAATCAAACAAGGCAGTGGAATTGAGTTTGGTGTCCCAGAGTAACATAAGCAAATATAGCCTGACAACTCATATTGGAGAAGACTTAGAAGTCTGCCTATGCCTGGATATCAATACAACAAAGACAATGGTTTGGGCACCTACAGGCATGAGATACCTTGTCTGCAGAGGGAACAGAACAAACAACTCTGTAAGCCCCAAATCCACCAAATCTGAAGGAATACGGGGAAGTGCTTTGGTATGATCCTTCTACGGAAATGTCCATCTGTGTGCGAGTGTGTGTTTTTGTGTATAAATATCCTTAGATCTTCTAAACAGCTAAAGTTATGAAGTCAGTGCTTGTATACAATGATAATACAGCTGTTATCCTTACAGACCAATGTTACACAGAAACGCATTCCCAACTTCCTGTTTTGATGGGTAAGAGTCTCTTTCATTTATTTATTTTTTAAGTAACATGTGGTGATAAAAGATATATATTTAATTAGCGATCAAACAAATTCTCAGGTTCTGCAGCTGTCAGAGATCTCAGTTCTAATGTGGTGCACCAGTGCCCTCCTGTGGAGCTCTGCGCTGCACCTCGGCTACAGCTTGTATCTGCTCTCTTCACTGCTACTTGCTAAAAAGAAAAAGGAATGCTGAGGCATTAAAGTAAGAAAAGAAACAGTGTCCTGGCTTAATAAAGTGCCATAAAGTGAGGAAATGGATGTACGAAAGAGAACGGTAAACAGAATTTTAAGGGGCGAAAAATGTAAATCAGTTTGTGAATCCATTTTCTTTTCTTTTTAAAATAGATTTTAATTAGTGTAATTACTTATTTAGCTCTCAGCTCTTTTTTTTTTTTTTTAAAAAAAGGTTTTTTATTAAATGTTTCATGTTATTTCTATATGTCATTTTTATTGATAAACAGTTCATTTTGGAAATTATTGTTTTTGTTAAAATATCAAATAATGAATTTTTTTTACAAAGAAATTTTTAGATAATTTATTATATTTGTTTAGACATTAATAAAGTAAAGTTTGTAAATGAATTGACTATTGCATAATATTATTGTCCAATAAATCATTAATTCATGAAAAGCATTATTACAATTACTTTTCCCAAGGGGCTACTTAAGTAAGATGAACTCCACTTAGTATTCATTTTATCTCTTTATGAGCTAAATGGTATGGACTTCCACAACAATACCAGTTTTCCATGTGGCCCCTTGGGTTTAATTATTCCCCACATCTGCTCTAGGTCCTCAATACACAAGGACAGCTTCAGGACTGTGGACTGTAAATAAAAGATGGCTGCAACCAAGCAACATAAAAAGAAGACATTTTCCTTTTTTTCGCACATCTATTTATGTGAAATAAAAAAGGAGTCAAGAAAAATGTTGAAGCTTTTTTTATATGAAGGTACATCACAGTGAAATGGTGTAGCATGTAACTTCAAGTGTCAAAGGTTTGTAAACCGTACTGTATCACTTCAAAGTTTGCATGATGTAACAAAACTTTTCTTTAGTTTTCCTGTTGTGGTGAATGAATAGACATTTTGGACTGAAAAATAAGATTACAGTGATGGATCACTAAACCTAAACCTCTTCATGACTTCTGGTCTTAACTTAATCTAAAGACTGGCATTACCTTTACTGTAGTTCTTTAAAGAAGTCAGCAAGAGGTTGGGAGATTAAAAGTTGAAGTTTTATTCTGAGCAAAACATCTTTTGATAACATTTCAAGGTTGGAGGGGAAATTAATTCTTAGTGTTCTACTGTAACAGGCTTCTATTTATGTGATTTTGTGGACCAGGACTCGTCATTCTTGTGCCTAATGGGTGCAGAATATTAGAATTTTTTTAACGTGGAAAGAGAGAAACCACTAAAGGCATGTTATCCTTTTACATCACATTTGTCTTTTTCTGAGAGGACATTTTCCTACCTATTGAAAAGCATGAACAAAAAGCACTGTGAGGAATCATTTTAGAAATATAAAAGCTCCTTCTTGAGTTGAGCACGTATTTTATAATTTCTACTTCATGGTCTACTTCTTTGATGTATCTGAATAGTTTGAAAGCTATTTACTATGAGCTGTACACTTTCACACCCAGAAGATGGAAAATTCAGATGTTATGATTGGACAAGACATAATGTAGTTTGTCAAATCAATATTATGAATTACAATCAGACAATGAAACAGTCCACCTTCTAACTTCATTAGGACTTGACCACGAAGCTCCCAGCACCAGTGTTTGTGCTGACGTTAATGCCAGAGAAGATTTGGAAGTCTGCAGTCTTGAATCAGCAGAGGGTTGCTAATGTTTTCAAATTTGGATAGGGGCTTGATTTTATGCCTCTTTGGTAATGGGACTGAAAATGTCTGAATTCCAATTCCACATTGTGAACCTGTCAGAAATTAAGACCATTAAGACAGAAATAGTTGTTTATGTTTTATTTGGAGAACTTTTTCTCTCAATCCATTATAAAATAGCAATTAAAAACCTTTTTGTTTGAAAATCCTCTATTTACATATAAACAAGTAGCTGTGCAAATTTTACAAGATATTGGCAAGAAAGCATAATATTTTTGTCTCCTTTTGTCACATAATTGTACAAGAAAAATAAGACATTTTTTCGTAATTCAAAATTGTCAAGTAAATCTACAAAGAGCAACTTAAGTATATACAGTAATAAAACTTGCTGATAAACATCTTGTCATAAAATGCTAAAGGTATAAAGACAAAAATTAGTATGTGCACAAAAATATAAACAATTTATAGAAGGTATGTTCATTTGATTGATTAGTTTTAGAAAACTGATCTGTCAAAGTGCAGTTGTTGCTCTGCATTTCACGTTTACCCAAAATAACCTCTATCATTCATAAATAAAAAAAAGTGTGGACATTCAACTTATTGAAAAAAATGTAATTCACTTAAATCGCTGAAATTAGTAATAATATTAGAATCGATTTTAAAATTGACTTTAAAAATCACATTACAGTAAAAATACCCCCAACCTGGCTATGTTAAATTATTAAGAGCCATTTCATTTCCAAAATCATAACAACCTAGTCTTACTTGGTAAGTCTTTAGTTCTGTGGGTGATATTAAATAAAGGCATCATAAAAAACAAAAACAAACAAAACCCGGCTTATTTATTTGCGACAATTTTCAAGAAAAGGAGTAAAATTACCATTTTTGTTTTCAGAATTTAAATTTTTCATTTTTCTCTGCTCTTCTAAATATGTGGACCGTGAGCTCGCTTCCACTGCAGAAAATCTGCCGCTAAAAGTTTACACCGATGACTGCAATCACACTGTGATGAATAACAATTTCTTTGGAGAGGATTTTCACTGTGATTCAGTTCTTGACGTAAATGTCATACTGACATCAGTGAAGAAATGTATTAACGCTACTAGCAGCTGGAGATGGGAAAGGAAATCTCAGTACTAAACAGTTGCAGTCAAAGTTTTGCAGCTCCACCCATAACAGCGTATACCCTCAGTATGCTTTGTTTATCATTTCTACATGCACAAGTGCAACAGAAGTCACATTCTGTTGTTCAGACAAACTACAGATGACGGTGGCAACCTGCTAGCAACTGCAAGGAGATGTTCAGTGCAGCACCATATACTTCTAGGGAACCAACTTCACATTAGAAACAGCAACAACCTCAAGCAAACATTCACCAATCATTGGCAGAATACATCCTTTTCCCTGGCAACAAGTGGTTACCAAGGGTCACTGACCAGCCTAACTGCTGCCTGAATGGACCATAAGAAATTTATTTCACAGTAGTTGCCAGCAACCTACAGTAACTACTTGCAACTGGTTGGAAAAATGCGCATTTCCCCCTTCTGACTGGCGATTACCAGATGGTTGCCAACCGATCTCTAGGCTTGTATGTGGTGGAGCGCTCCAGAGGTTTAAAAGGAGATGGCACAAATTTAAGTCAGGTAAAGCTGACAGGTAAAGGGTGGAGTCACGATACCTTATGAGTACATCTTACCTAGTTGCTTTTAATTACTGACGAGCGACATAAAGTATTTAAATTCTCTGTAGAAAATACAAGACCCTAATTAAAAAGACTTCAAAATTTGTGCAAGAACTCTCACCATAAATCAGAAATCCTATGACAGTGAGCTCTAATACCACCTCTACACTGCACACAATACATGACACATAAAATATCATTGATTCCAATCACAGACAAAGATAAAAAAGAAATAAAACAAAACAACAGCCAACCAACAACAACAACTGTATCCCTAAAAAATCCTCTCATTCTACAAATCTGGAGAGAAGTGTTGGATATATAAAATTCCTTGATCAACACATTCTAATCCATATGGCTTAAACTGTTAAGAAGGCAACTCAGCAGATGATAAGACCGGTTAAGATTAATCTCTGTAAAACGATCCACAGGCATTGCTAAAATATAGTATAAATGTACGATAAATTAAAATCTCTGTTAACGACTTAAATAAACAAGAGTGTCTGCCAAGCACTTCAAAGAGATTTGCTGCTACAGCACAGACGCCACTGACACACGTTTTAAATCTGAAGTGTTCGGTTTGGTAAAGACATTGTTCTTTTGTGTAGCATGAGGCAGTGCATCTTCATCGAGTGTGGTTGGTTGTAACTGCAGAGCTGAGAGGCGCACTGAATTCAGGGCCAAGTTCCAATATTTGCTCCATTTCTCCACTGAAAATACAAAAGTCCTTTTCTTTAAGAGGCTTTTGAAAGCCAAGGTCTCTTCAGCATGACTCCCACAGACAGATGCCTCATAATTCAACAGTGGGTGATCAAAGGAAGTACCGGCAGGAAGGGTCGGAGCCGATGGTCCACTCTGCCTCCTTAATGCCACTGAGTGAAACTAGTCATTTTAATGCGGGTGCTATTTGAGGAAGCCTTTATAGAGCAGGTGTGAGTGACTGGTTCCTCTTTCATTCTCCAGACAGAAGAGCAGGTCCCTGAGGTTGACTCTAGTGATGCGCTGTCGCATAAACTGTCTGGAGCCTGTTCCACCTGAGCCTCCAGTCTGAGAGGGACACGACCCTGATCCCTGGAGGGTGAAACAAAGCAAGGACATTCAATTTTTCATCAACTGCTTTTGTGAATCCAGAAAACTTCAAAATAAGCACATCCCTACTTTGGGTTAATCACACCTCACCTCTGCATTGGCACCTCTACCCGGTGAGTCCATTTTCCGCTTTTTCCTTGGGCCGATTGCTGCCAGCGCTGTTAGGTTGGCTTCTCTCTGCCTGATTTGAGCCAGCTCCTGCTGCTGCATCTGAAATACAAGTAGTAACACATACATTCAACGTACAGGCAAACTCATAACAATGCTTCAAAAAGAAAGCAATCACCCAGGATATTATTTTAGCATATACTTACTTCTTTGGCCTTCTGTTTCAGTCGGAGTTGCTCCGGGTCTTCTTGCCGTGACCGAGACTGAAATAATATCGAGGACATTTTAATATTTCAAAAAGGATATGTAGAATTTATTAAATGACTTGTTTTATTCATTCACTCTCTCAGTTTCCATGTCTGGCATTTGGTGATGGCAGGGAAAATGTATATTAATGACAATGACCCAAGAGCACTCACTTGCCTTCTCTGTATAATTATGCATACAAGATTGTTTCTGTCAGTGATACCGTGTGTCCTTGTTCGAATGCTGTTACCTTGGCAGCTTTCAAGAGGATCTCTCTCTCCTGCTCTTCCTTCCTTTGCTTCTCCATTTGATCCAGCTGCTCAAAGAATTTGAGCTGGGTTCGCACATCGCTCGCCTGCTCATACTGTTCATCTTCCTGGAGTTGGCATGAAAAGCGAGGACAGACAGGAAAATGAAACAAGAGATCTTAAAACACAGTAGTGAGTGGGTCTCCCCTACTCTACAATTGCAATCAATTATCACCTTAAAAGTCAAGTTCTTCTGCTGTGCAACATGCGACACCTTTTCCAGTATGTCTTGCAGGCGTTGCTGTGTGGCATGGGAAATGTAGTTGATCACATCTGTGCCCAACTCACTGACACTGAACTTCTTACCTGTCGCAACAGGAGTGAGTATGGATAAAGCTTTAGACGGTGTCAGCATACTGAGGAACATGCTGTGCATTTTCTCGACAGTGTACATCTCTCACCAATGTCCAGAACTATCCGGGTGAGTAAAGAGGTGGAAAGGAAGGTCTCGTCCTTACAGGAACGAGTCACCATGCCAACAAGCTCGGAGTTGGTTGCTAAGATACGGGCACTCTCTTCTGACAAGTTGACTCCTGCCATTGAGGCCACATCGTTGATATCGTCATCGTCCCTGGAGAAGAGACAAAAACAGTTTTCTTACTTTTTGTGTCTTAAGCACATTTATACAGAATAAATACAACATTAAAAAAAACCAACACAACACACACAGAGTACTTGGCACTGTATGATGACAAAGAGAGGTGTTATCCTTAATATGAGTATCACAGGTGTACAGCTCTGGCTGTGGTCCCAATCACCTGTAATTATAACCTTCTATTCATGAGGCAACCAATTGGAAGCACTTGTTTAACACAGTTAATGAACTAAGGAGCTGCACAAAGGATAATAAAGTAAATAAATTCAGTTCTGAATTGTGAAAAGCTACTCTAATAGAGGCCAAGACTGAAAATATGGTGCTGGAAGTCAGTATGACAGGTAAACTTTAAGATAAAAGTAACAACAGCAATAAACTGCATCAATTTATCTTACGGTTGGCACATAAAAAGTTATGACATCACGTAAGTTTCTATTAGAGATGGACCGATCCGATATTACGTATCGGTATCGGTCCGATACTGACCTAAATTACTGGATCGGATATCGGAGAAAAATAAAAAATGTAATCCGATCCATTAAATATCACGAAAGCACCTCACATACGCCGTAACTCACCTCAGAACGTTAGCACGTCGGAGCAGTATGCATCACGTGATAGAGGGCTGTGGCATGCGGGACCTGTCGGTGGTCTGGATAGCATTTGGAGCTTCGCTAGCAACCTGGCATTTCATCTCCGACAAAGTTATCCCCGAGAGAAGTAAAGCAAGTGTGTAAGTCCATCTCTGAATGTTTGTAAAGCATTCCTGCGTTAAGCTTAACGAGCGACTGCCTCTCGCTCTCCGGCTGCTACTTCAATCGTGAAACTGCTAATGATCAGCTGATCGGCTTTTCTGTCGCGAGTCTCTCTTGTTTGTTTTTGGTCCACTTTGCGCCAGAAAGAGGAAACCAGCGGCTGAACAACAGCAGCACGTTTAAGCTTGATAAGCTGTTGTTAAATTTATTTAATATTACTTTCTACACCAGGATCGTTTTCTACGTAGCTGACGGCTGGTAACTGTGCAGGGGCGGATCTAGCAAAGTTTAGCCAGGGGGGCCGATAGGGCATTAACGGGAAAAGGGGGCACAAAGACATACTTTTCTTTCTTATTCTCATTTAAAATGTCTAGCTTTTAATAAATAATTATCTGACACCCAAAGTTTTAATTTGATGTAAAATGAATAGAAGTCAATTACTGTATATAGTGACTATTAAGTCTAATATATATACCCTAGTAAGCTATAGTACTTTTTCCTTTGGGAAGGTACCATCTGTGCAGTCTGCAATTTTGTTGAAGAAAGATGTTGAATCTATTTAATATTTCTTGAAAAATAATTGATTTCTGTGCATTTTTTTCACACTGCATCAAATTAAGGTTGATTACGTCGATTAAGCATCATGAGGTGGAGCGTGAGGGGTGGTTCCCTATTTTTTATTTATTTATTTTTGTTGTTGCTGGGAGTTGGAACCCTATTAGTTAGGTTGCTTAATATTTACGCTAAGTACTCTTTAAAATACCAGAATAGGGAGGATGGTGTAGGTTAAGTTTATTAGATTGATCAGTATTGCTGAACTATGAAATTTTTTTTTGTATACAGGTATAACAGAATAGCTTTAGTGTAGTTGTTGTTTTAAACTTGAGTATGAACTTGCAGACTTGCAAAATGCAGCAAGATATTTTAAAAAAACAGTTTTGTTGATTAAAAAACACTATATCGGATTCATATCGGTATCGGCAGATATCCAAATTTATGATATCGGTATCGGTATCGGACATAAAAAAGTGGTATCGTGCCATCTCTAGTTTCTATGGATACTTAATTATCTGTGAACGCATATACAGATACTGGTATTTAACAGTGAGTTGGATTTCTTTTTTTTTTTGGTCTCTCGTACCTGAAAGTGCCTCCTCCTTCCTTCAGCTTGTTCTTCTGAGCTGCACCGAAGGAAGGCTGACTGAAAGCTTGTATTCCTTTGGGTGCTGGAGCCAATGTCTGCTTCACTGCTGGTACTAAAAATCATAAACAGGAGCAAAAACAGGTTTTCTGTAGTGAATTTAGACTAATGAAAGGCAGCTGCACCTAAAACTATTAGAGCACGCACTTTGGACTTTGTGTCTTGCAATTACAAACAGTAGCCACAAGGTGGTAGCGCTTCCATAGACGTGTTAAATGCATTAAAGAAAGAAGCTAAACTGAAGCAAAACAGCTGCAATTTAGTGGATTTTAGTGATGCTATTGCATTAGTGGACCATGGGGATGTTTTCATGGATATCCATTTGAAACTGTATGAGGTACTAAAGTAATGAAATACAACACTGAGACTGAACATTGAAACTAACTGTACATTGATCAGTGATAAACCAGTAATAAATATCAGTTAAGCATTAAACAAATATTAATATGACCCACTTGTTTGTAGCTGTTTGATAACCTGTGGCTGGCCCACGATGATGCGACTGTGAGCTTGTCCTCTCAGTGTTACCACGGCAGACTGAGCCAGCGTCACCGGTGGCCTCACAATGGTCCCCTGTTGCTGGGGTACTATCTGTGCACATTCAGAAAAAGACTAAGAATGAGAAACCTAAAAGAAAGCACACAAATGAAAGAAGTAGAGACAGGCATATATTCAGAAGCGTCCACTTGTTCATACATGTTCATCAATATATTCCGATACACGTAATAGCAAAAAAACCCAAAACATTACCAGTCCCGGTTTACTGTGAGGCGTCTGTGTAAGGCTGATAACTGTGGTTTTGGTTGTGGCAGGGCTGGTGGTTGTAGTGATGGTGGTGGAGAGAGGAGGTCGCAGCACCACAGCAGTGAGTGCTGTGGAGGCTGCTGCTGCAGGCTGAGGGCTCAGCTGAGGCAGCAGGCTTTGTTGGATGAAGGCCTCTGAATCTGGGGTCATCTGGCGCAGCGCTGGAAGACTTCTCTACAGTCAGAATGAATGAAGTGTGTATGTATTCAGTTCATAATGTGAATGAGTCAGTTAGTTGTGGTTATTGTGCTGGAGTCTTGGCCAGAGTACTCTTTAAAAAGAGAGGTTTTTACCTGGATAAGTAAAGAATATAATAGAAAGAAATCTAACAGAAGCAGCTCTTAGTGATAAATGATTAAATTTCTATCATTTCTACACATCACATAGTACTCTAAAGAAACTGCAGTGCATAGAATTTAGTTTATGATGTAAGTGAAGTTCATTATGTAAGTGGAGTTCAGAAAAGTTTTTTTCTTTTTCATTTCTGTTCTTTGACTTTTCAACAAGAAACTATTGCAGAAGCTATATGAAACAACATGCTTTAGAGATTTTTAAATATTATGAAATAGCTTTATTGATTTGATTATGAAAGAGAAATGCAGAGAGAATAAATTTGCCCCATCCTTTCTAGATTTTTAAAGCTACCTGTCTGGCTACTACATCACCATGTCAGCCAGCAGAGCAGATATTTCCTCTAGTTTTTCAGTAGCATTTAAGTCCATGTGTGACAAATTGCTATAGCTTTTGGCCTGGTCCTGATTAAGGCTGCAAATCCTCCGCTCACCTGCACTCTAATCTCTGTCATGGAGTGGTACATGTGTGCGAATGCACACCTAGCAGTAGAAGTCACCAACCACTGGCTTCTTTTTGATACAGTGAATTTTAGGATTAGCGTTAACTGCTGCCTACAAAACAGGTAAAAGATGGCTTGCAAATTTTACTTTCCAAAATGCTGTTAAAAAATTGGTCAAGGTGAAGACCAACACAACCTTCAGATAAAGTTGCATTTGTTTGGCAGGAATGCAAATTAAAGTCCCATGTGACCACAAAGGAGCTTACCTTTATATTGTGGAGCATCTACATTATCAGCTTTCAGCCCAAAATCACATGATAACAATTGACAACACTGAGTAAACTGTTAAGGGGGAAAATATTCTGCTTTGAGGCTAGAAATAAGGTTTCCATGAAATATTAATCAATTTAAGCAAAAATGCTGCAGTGATCCTAAGCATGCCTCAGAACCATTATTGAAAATCTGTGGGCAGATCCTAAACATAGCCAATGGACAAGATGTGCAATAATGTGAGAAAATTCTCTAATCAAAGACAAGAGTCTTGATGGCTTTTAAGTTTGTGAGTAATACAGTGTTCAAATGTAAGTCCCAAAGTTACAGAACAATGTAATAACTTTGGTTTTGTCTGCAGGTGTGTCACTAATCTCACCTTGAGAAAAGGTACAAGGTATGGCTGCGGTGATGAGTTGAGCTCCTGGTATAACCTACTGGTAAAATCTTCTGGCTCTATCTTTGCTTCCTGTTACAAGGAAAAGAGAAAAAAAAAAACATGATGGATGAGAATACATCATACATAAATAAACTTTGAAGGAATTTCACCAGGAGAAAGATTAAGTGTCAACCCAGAGAAGGTAAGAGGGAGAGAGAAGTACCAGTAGGTTCTTGACGAGCTCCTTAACATTGGCTGTGGTCTCAGACGACTGTTTCCCGCTGGATGCCAGCTTGATCAGTGTCGACAGAAAATTTCTACATTTTTTCACATTCTCCAGCGTCTCCTGCAAGCACACACAAATATTTTCTCTCAAATATTTACATAATACATGAAAAAAAAACATTAAATAGGGTGTAGGGAAAAAGGTATTTTTTGCTGTTCATCAATCATGGTTAGCAATTCTCTCTTACAGCTGTGACAGGTGTCGGAGTGACAGGGGTTGCAGTAGCTCCAACGGGCCCCACCCTCTGTGCTACTGCTGTGGAGGCGGATCCGGGCTGCACTGTGGTGGCGGTTCCTAGCGGCTGTCCTGCGGTGGTAGCAACCCCTCCCAGCATGATGGTGTTCTGTATGTGTCAGTGAATATGCACTTGAAATTAGACCCAAGAAAAATGATGAGGTCAGAAACAGCTTTAACACGAGCAGGCCTGTTGAACAGTGCATTTCCTTTTTTTCACATAACACTGGTGTTCTATGAATTTTACTTTTTATATACACAAACGCTTTAGAGCTTACTCTAAAAGCATGATCTGGGAAAAAAAAACTAACAAGGTTTAGCAAAAATATATTTAAGGAATTTCCATGGCAATAAGGACAAAAAAGATGAATAGAAGCAGCAATGTTTTTAAAAGTGAGCAAACAAGCCAGCCAGAGAGGAACTGAAAACAACTGTGTTGACCTTGTTGCAAAATCCCATCCTTTCATGCCACCGTTTGGCAGAAAAATTGACCATATAATCTATGAAACAGATTCTGTGCTTGTTTTTTTAAAAACCATCTCACAGTAGGAAATCAGTCTTAACGAGTTCATGGAGGATACATTCAGCTTTTACTTGAGCAACAGTAATAAGAGTCTTACTTTAATATTCTCATATACCAAGAACCTTCTGCACAGCTGTTCTCAGCAGGTGTACAGTAACAGGCACACATTCCCTGACAAATAGAAAAATTATGAAGTGTAATTCATTTCGAATAACAACACTCTGCAGACACTTCAGACACACCGCTGGCAATTCTAACTGAAGCAAATGTCATGTAAGTAGCAGCATGAGTTAGACTAATTTGGGTCAACTGTGTGAGATTAATGGAAACAGGATGTGACCGAGATCATAGTGAGGACCACTTGTCCAGATGTGGAAGATGAGAGAGTAGTGGTTTTAATCCAGGTCACAAGGGGGTATGAGAAACAATGACAATGAGATTTGTTTGTTTTTTTTCCTAAAAAAAATTCCTTAATGTTAAAGATGATTGGAAAGATGCCTGGGTATGGCTATATGTAGGAACTGTTGAAAACAAATTGGGAATGATTCAAAAACTACACAGGAGTTTACGACCAAAATTACATGAAACCATTCAAGGTTCAGAGAACTTGGAAAAATCTCTTCACACAAGGAATGAGGCCAAAATCCAGCACTGAATAGATGTTATGTTTGGGCTGTTAGGCAGACCTACATTAAAAACAGAGATGATTCTGTAGTGAAAAATCACATGAGCATGAGATTGGAAAAGCTTTAAAAACTACAGTTCATAAGTGCATCTACAGGGGCAATTTAAGAAAACTTTTTAAGATACTCTTTCCCTTGGTTTTAGTCTATTGTAGGGTCTCAGATCTATACATTTTTCTAAAAAAAAAAAAAAACTTTTTGAAATTTGATCATTTGATTTACAGGTGATTCTATTCCTATTTTAATAATGTTTTACACAGCTTCGCTCTGGACAAGCGTATGCAATGCCTGGGTTCAAACCAGGCCAGGATGTTTAACTTAATCCATTATGAAAAAACAAAGCTTCCCCAGGTAAACCGCAAGAGCATAGGGGGAAAATGCAAACTGAGCCTATGGGTTACACTTGGTGTTATGGAAATGAATCATTTGATTTAAATATAGTGAGAGTTTACCTGCAGAACAGGAGGCCTCTGTAGTGCGGTGGTAGCTGTCACAGTGGTCTGAACTGTGGAACACTGTTTAATAATGGTGGTGGGAGTAACAGGACGAGCCAGCAGTGGTGCACCTGGTGCCTGCAAGGACATATAAAAGAAGATGTTACGCTTTTGGCAGACAGTGGAGCAGCAAGGGTTTTTCGGACACATGCTATATTGCTTAATAATAAATAAATAAATAACAAAAATCAGAAAATATTCAAAAAGTTACATATTAGTAGTAGTATATAGTATATGTTTTTAAGTTGGATGCAACAGTTACTCTGTGGAATGAAAATTAAATCAGAAATACTTGTTTTGTAAATGTTTACCAAGCAGAGGCACAGTATTTATGTTGAAGCAGTAACCAAAACTTAATTATAAACAGAAAGTAAAATAGTGATTAAGTTTATCCTTACTTTGAAGTTACAAGAGAGGTGTAATGTGAAAGAAGTTCAGCACAGCTTTCTTTGCATTACCTGGCATGTCAAAAACTACAACCCCTGCTAGAAGTGAATGGGTATCACTTCAGTGGTTATCTACTTCCAGTGTTAACGCAGGCTTTCTGCCTCAGGCTCTGTGGACGCTCACAAAAAAAGGGGGCATTTTACGCATCACGAGTGCCGCCTACTTCGATCAGATGACGATAAAACGTGATAAAAATCTATAAAGAGCATAAAAATTTAACATGCAATATAAAAGAAAGGAAAATGCAACCCCATTACAAGTAAGATAGGAAATTAATGCAGCAGAAAATTATTAATCTCGGGATTTAGCGCACTGAGGTGTAAAATAAACATTTCTATTTGAGTTAATCATTTTAATGCCGAGTGCACTCTCAGTCCTGCTTAGTTCTAAAATGACAGCTGCATGTTAGAGCTCTGAAACTTTCAACTGGACACATTTAAACATTAAATGGTACTGTCCCAAAGCCTGATAAGGGGACTGAAAATCACTTTAGTGAAAATTCAGTGAAAATGTGACAATTTACAGGTGACTTTAAATTAAAAACCCTGAGCACGGCCTGCTTCCAACCAGGTTATGTGTTTAGCATAAGTTATCACTGTGAAAACCAGATAAAAAGGAACATATTTATGTATATGTAGCTTTAAAAATGATATGTTAATGTTACTGGTATAGACAGCATTGAATATGTCTATGAGTCACTGTAGATGGGATGTGGATGACCAGAGAAGAAAAAAAAAAATCAATAAAAGACAACTAATTTGAATTAATATAACTGATGTTGGGAATATAAACAAGTTTACTGGTTTTGCCAGACTGAACTTTATTTCAGTAAAAATTCACTTGTACTCTTTTACTGTCAAAGACTAATAAATCAAATGTGAATTGGGAGGAATTACCTTTTTTGGGTTCTGAGAAAAAGTCTGAGAACCAACTGTTACAGAAGGCTTACAGAACTGTACAGGTATCTGAGTCATATTTTCTGCGTTTGACTGTATCTAGCAGATCTGTACCTGTAGGGATGTGATCTGGACAGGTGGAGTGCTTGTGGGAGCTGGAGGTCGTGGAGTCATGGCGCTTTGTGACTGCGACTGAGCTTGCATTTGAGCCAAAGCCTGCTGGGGAATCATCAGCAGTTGCCCACTCTCACTGCGAACCAAGACCATTCCTGTACGTGCCAAATATCCAAGGAGTTAAAATATTAAAAGGTCATTATCTTCCTGTCCCAATGAGTCACCAAAAAAAAGGATGTATGCACGCATGTATGCATCAATAGTGAGCCCTATTTAGTCCTAAGCCACTCAGCAACTTGTCAAACCAAAAAGAGCCACAAGCATGTTAGCAGAGTCTGACTGACATATGTGACAATATTAAAACATTTATTTTGTTAGGAGTATAATGCAGGAGAGAGAGACTTGGGGCAATAAAGGAATAGTTTATACAGAAGAACAGCCCCATTTCAGTCTTTACAAAACTCTGTCTGCAAAAGAGCAGAGCAATCAATGATGCAGGGATGAGCGGCGTCTTCAAAGTAAATAGAACTAATAGTAAAGTTAATAAACAATTACCCCACCATTTTCCTGTCTCAACATAACTCTTAAATGCTTAAATACGTATGCCAGTATACCCATATTTATTATTATTGGAATTTTATATTTATAAAAAATTGATATTACCAGAAAAAAACATTATCAGTCAGGGTCTATATGGCAGCCTAAATAAAAAACATAAAACATTCTTGTTTCTGCTCAAAATAACATGTCTTCTTGCCACCAATTTATTTTTATTGTATGGCAGTGTAATACTATGCACCACAGCCTTATGTCAACAGTGTCTGTTAAAGAGGTGACAACATGACTCTACTACATAATAATAACACAGACATTCTAAGACTGGCCAAATAAATGGCCAGAGGTGTTTCAGCAAGGCTACAAAGTGGGAATACCTTGGAATCAGAATCAGAATCAGAAGACTTTATTTATCCCCAAGGGGCAATTAAATCTGCCATGGAAGAAATCTGCCATTAATACAGTGGCCTACAACAAAGAACTATATCCTACAGAGAGGCCACAAAGGGGATTTTCCATTCTAAATTGCAAATAGATGCATTTGTCAAAAATGATGTTGTTTGTTTTAGGTCTGTATTTGATCTGGATTCATTTTCTAATATAATAATTCTTTATTTTATGCTATACTGAGCACAAAATAGAATCACTGCACTTCTACAAAACCCTGAAATAACAGTTCACAACTGAGACAAAAATGCTAACCTGAAGACTTTGCATACTCAACACATGCATCCCAGAAAGTTGATTCAGTTCATTTGAACGTGGCATTATCAATCGGAGAAATGTTTCATTATGCATTCAAGTGACTTTATCAGTCAGTCACTTGGATAAGTGATGAAATATTTCTCCCACTGAAAACAGTGCATTCAGATAGAGGGAATCAACTTTCTGGGACTTCCTTACATGCATTATTGAGCATGCATCAATACATTTTAACACATGCATCCAAACACACATAATGCTTGAGCGATATCCTGTATATTTTATCCAGCTGGTGCTATTATAATAGGATGTAATCGTCTCAGACAAGACAAACTAAAAAGAATCAATAGACTGGAATGGACAGCTACATTGATAAACTATATGAAGAATGTGTTGGCTGAGTTCCACTGAATCCTGCTTTTAATCTGCTACAGAACCCTGGCCACCTCTAAAGTTGCTACTAAGCTACTACAATGTGTTTCAAATCATCTATTGCCTGCAAAGGCATCTCGGGAAACCGTTAAAGTTAATAATAATCTTCCACATGCTCTCAGACTTTACAACTCAATTACCTGGAGGCAGCTGAATGTTTTGGATATTTGGGGCGTTTTGTTGAGGCTGAGCGAGTCGAGGAGCTAACACCTGTGGAACAATAGTTCGTATTCCACCGGGAGGAGTTGCAGCAACTGTTGAAGGTACTGAAGTCCTCAAGCCCTGCAAAACAGTCGGACTCCTCACTGTCGCTGTCGTCCCTGTAGCAACAACTGAAGCCACGACGTGGGCACCAGTAGGCAAGATAACTTTTGGGCAGTCAGTTTTGCTAGCAGGAGAGCCAGTTGTGCTGGTAACACTGACAGACGGTGATGTTAAAACTGTGGTTGGACTGCCTGTACTTTGTGAAGGGTTCATGGATGTTTGCATAGGTGGCCTCACCAGCGTGATTGTGGGAACAGTTTTCACAGAAGGCTGGGACGAGATAACAGACGAAGTCACAACATTTTGCGCGTTCAAAGTAGCTCGGATAATAGTACTAGGTGTTCCAGGCAGACCTGCTGCGCTTGGTTTGCTCACAGAAACAGGTCCGTTGTTGAAGAGTGTGACAGCACCGGGCTGCGAGTTGTTGCTGTCAGCGGGTCCGCCTGCGGTTATTTGACAGTTCATCACCACGGCACCTCCATTCAGTGTTTGCGCATCGGTCGCTCCAGGTCTGCCAGCGCCAGCTGTTGCATCTAGTGTAACCATAACAACTCCGCTGGCTGCGTCCGACTTGGACTGACTCTGAGTGGCTGTCACACTCGGTCCTGCCGTCGATGTGATCCCTGCTGCCCCATCCATGCTTGAACCCAGGGACCCCGTACTGTTACTGACACCTCCTTGCGCTCCTGTCCCTGCAGCAGCGGAAACACATGAAAACAAGAGGAGTGTCGAGCAACTCTCCGATTCGCTTTAGTTTCGGGACACAGACAAGTGAAGCCAAATAAGCTATAACCAGCTGAGTAACGTGACCAAAATTAGCTAATGTTAGCTAACCGGAGTGCGCAGCTATCTTACCTGCTTTAGCAAGCTCTTGTTGTGAAAGTCCCATTTTGCTACCCTGAACATTTAAACTACTACCTAGAGCTGAGTTTCCGCCATGATTTTCTGCAGACGGGGCCCTAGCGGTTGTGTTATCGCGCCTTGTTTCTGTTAGTTCAGACTCCAGGGATCCATCTAGGTCACTAACTACTTTTTCGTCCACCTCTGTGCTCAAGAAAACATCACCCAGCAAATCGGAGCCCGCCGCCATCTTTTCCCAGCTACGCTCGTTCGTGAGACGCATGCGCCGATTGGATGCATCCTCCGTGACGCGACCTTAACTCGCCTCATGATTGGCTGTTGGATAAAAATAAAACCTGGAACAAATGTTTGCGAGCTGCAGTGTAAAGTGCCACCGCAGTCGGACTATTTCGTTGGAAACAAGCGACACCGCTCACAGAGCGGTGCCTTGTGGAGCATTAGCACATCGAATAAACTGTCAGATAGTTCTCATGCACTATCACATGATTTCAAAGATGTTTGCATTACACTATTTTACTCTCTGAACAATCCAAAATGGCTGCGTTGATGCTATTTTTCCAGGACACCCGCAGTAACCGCCTAGTGCTCACAGACAGTAGTGATGTGAAACTACCTGGATAGTAAACTTTTGAGAGTGCAGATCAGCACTTAGGCAGCCAGTTTGCACGGTTGTTTGTGCATCACAGGACTCAGCCTTTTAACGCCGTGACTGTGACTTTTGTTGCAACTTATAAAAATTATCTAAAAAATGTTTTTATGAAAAAAATATGTACCATAAGCACAATCATAATTATTGATCGAATTCGTAACAAATAATAGATTACGAAAAAATTCAAACGAATGGGTCACAAGTGAGTTAAATCAAGCCGTGGTGATTGGCATTCATTTTATTGCCATCAATGATTGCCAGGTGCTTCAATCAGGTCAGCTGTGTACGCCTATAAATTGTTTCCGGTTTTACTAGGACTCGAAATGTGCCGTGTGATGAGTCTTTATAGAAGTTTATAGCAACGGCCCCGGATATTCTCGAGCCATGGCTTCGAAGCCATACATTGGCTGTAAAGTATCACTCCTCTCAAAAGCCCAAAATCGTTATGAAGGGATTTTGTATACTATTGATGCAGCGAACAGCACAGTAGTTCTGGCAGAAGGTGAGTTATTTAGCTATCAGTGTTCTTGAAAATCTGTCAGCGTTTCAAAAACTTGCTTTTTAATTTTTTTCTCCATTTCTAGTTATTGTTATTTAATCTTAGCTGCTGGCAAAGTTTCTGGGCTGCCTTTCCTCATAACAGCCATCCCTCAAGAGTCTCTCCATCTAAAGCAATGCATTATCAGGGACTGTAACATCTAGTCATTTTAACTGAATTGGAAAGAAACTGGGCAAGTGAAATATGGGTGGAACTTTCCTAACTTTATCCATTGTTTTTCTTTTCACTAGTCAAGTGTTTTGGAACTGAGGGACGGCCAACAGATAGGCCAACGTCACCCAAAGATGATGTCTATGAGTACATTACTTTCCGGGGAAGTGATATTAAGGATATTACACTGGGTGACCCTCCAAGGTATCACCATGGCCTGCCTCAGGATCCTGCAATAATACAGGTGTACAAAAACTGCTTGGTTACACCCTCCTTCTAAAAACAGACTAAGTATGTATATGTGTGTTTAAACATTAACATATTTGGTTCATCCAGACCTCCAGTTCAGGCGCTTCAAGCATCCAATCTACCGTTGGATCACTCAGCCCTTTAAGGATGCCTGCCTACAACCAGGTTGCTGCTAGCTCTCTGCTTAATCAGCAGTATGTTGCAGCTCTCGGCCTTGGTAAATCAATGACAGCAAGTTTCTAACAAGTTAATTGACTAAAAAAAAAAATTTAAATGGGTTCTTTCTATACTACACACTTCATATCCTTTACCCAGGGCCTTTACTTCAAGGCTTACTTGCTCAAAGAGGTCCCATGGTGGAAAAGGCTGTTCAAACCGTCAGTGTAAAGACATTTAGGCAGAGAAGAGGTGCGAGTGGATCCCAGCAGCAGGAGCAACAAGAAGAACAAGGACAGCAGCAGCGGAATAGGAGGCAGCCCAAGGGGACGAGAGGAACAAATATTCAAACCACAAGGGTCACTGAAGCCACCAGTGAGTAAACAATGTTGCAGCAATGAGAAGGAAATGCTGTTAAAGTACTGTGATGTTTCCCAAGTGAAACAGGTTGATTAACTGTGGAGGAGTATGTATGTTTCGGGGAAAATAATGGGGTATTTTTCTAGGCAGCTACATGCACTTAAAACTAAGTGTAGCTGTTGTGGGTGTCTTTGCAGTGCAATCAGACCCAAGTGGATCCACTTCTCAAGACAGTCAGCAGCAAAATGCTGAAACCAGGCCACCTGCTAGAAAAAGACAAGGTATTAAACATGCAAGTTTCCAGTAGACTTGAAAATCAGAAAGGACATCCTTGTATACAAAACAAACTTGAGGTGCACTTAATAAAAAATAAATAATAATAATCTTAGGACCTCGACGGCGCAGGAACCGCAGAAGAGGCCAGCTGATGGTGGCTAATGCTCTATCTCCCACCCTTAAATTTGACACAGACTTTGATTTTGATTCCTCAAACGCGCAATTCATTAAGGAGGCGCTTGAGGAGAAGTTCCAGGAGAGGCTGACTCTAAAAGGTTGGTTTATCAGCTGGAGTTGCCAACAATGCACCACTTTTTTTTTTTTTTTTTTAAATCACCTGCTTTGTCAGTTAATTCTCTTTGAAGGAATGCTGTCAATTTAAAGATAGATAGATATCTATCATACTTTTTTTTTTTTTTTTTTTTTTTTTGTTTTTTTGTGTGGGGTTTTTTTTTTTTTTTTTTTTTTTTTCTTTTTTGTAAATAAATGCAATAGCTGAAAACCAGGGAATTGGTCTGTCCTTCCTTCCACTGTCAGTACTTTTTTCTGTTTTCAGATGGGAATTCTGACGGAAGGGAAACGGAGGGGTTGCAGCTGAGTTCAGGGGAGGATTGTTTTGGTCCAAAGTGCTACTATGACAAAGCAAAGTCTTTCTTTGACAACATCTCATCTGATAATGGGCTCAGGTAATCAACTGACTGTCTTTGTCTTATATAAAAGCTGGTCTTTGTACAGATATGTGCTCATGGCTATTTATGTACATCAATGGTTTCAGACTGACGTGGGCAGAGGAGCGAAAGCGCAATCTGGAGACTTTTGGTGTCCCTGGGCGTTTCCTGAGGGGCCAAGGATTCAGAGGTGGATATACCAGAAGAGGACGAGGTGCTGCTCGAGTCTAACTCAAAGAAATGCAACTGGGCGGCTGTACAGATCAGTTTCATACAAAGGCAGTAGAGTAAAGCCACCTTGACTGATTTCATACCCTATTTCTGGAAGGTACTGGATCCCCTGTAAGAATCTTGCCCCCCTTTTCTTGACAGACCTTTTGATGTTTAGCACAGTGAAGAAATCACAAGAGCAATAATGAAGGCTGTATTGCATTTGGAAGAGGTGCTATGCTGTGCATGTTTGTTTACAGTCTGTTTACTGGGATACATGATGGAACTAAGCCATCATTATTACAGCTGTGCTGTAACCAGTCAAAACGTCTGTCATTAAAAAGTTTAACATTATTTCTTTGACATTTGACCTTGTTTTTATGTGGGTAAAATTTACTCCAGCTTTTTTTTTTTTTTTGTTTAAAAGGGGGAAACCATGAATGCTTGAGTTTCTACTTTTGTTTGCTACTTGCACATTTGTAAATTCTTGCTTTTGCCTTTTGGGAGTATTAATCAGATTTGTCCATTCAATGTTGCATAGTATTAATATAATGAACTAAAGGAGCTTTCAGACTTAAGACTTAATTTGGTATAATCAAGGGAATGAGTTGAATGTAAATAAAATGGATGTGCTGATACACCTGTTATGAGACTAAAAGACATTTTGTTGCACAAGTAAGCATTTAAAAATTCTTAGTTGTACAATCCCAATTCTAAATCTGGGATAGTATCTGTTTTCTATGGCTGTTTCTTTGTCCTTTTAAGAAGGATCACTCCTTTAAACAACGTTTGCAATATATTCAAGATTCGATTATATAAACTGGCAAAAAATTTAAAAAGCGTAAATGTCACACTGAATTATAAGATTACACGTTCCCTGATTCAGCACTTGAGGGGCAAGTGCTGTTGTTAAAAAGTAAACACTCCACAGTGAACGGTGGGATTCCCACATTTCCTGAAATGCTGAAAGCAACTTTGGCTACAGCTGATCCTTAAAGGTTTTGCGCACTGAGCAGCGTGTGCTCCAAGCAGACTGCTTTCTTGAATCAAACGATACCCCGTCTACAGTGAGGGGAAAGTGGTAGGCTACTCACTGCCTGGACTATACCAAAATCTGAGGGAGAGGGATTTGTCCCTTACCATCATATCCCTTTATATGCATGTAATTATTTGCACGCAGATAATAAATAATAGCTTAAAGGAAATCCTGTTTAATGCCATTCAGATAAGTCAAGTGTTTTCTAATTTTCCATCTTTCGCGACATGGCTCTGGTTTGGTCAGTACCCCTATTCCTGGTAATGGAGAAACTATGTAACCAAATAGAAGGCTGCGCTCGAGATAATAAATATTGGAATAAAAGCGGCTCTTTTATTTCCCATATGACAAAATGTCGGTGGCGTTTTCATCGGCGCGCCCCAGAAGTAAAGGGGAGGTGACACAGCAAACCATTCAAAAGGTAAAAAAATCCTAAAACGTCGCGACATTTCTATTTAGATATTCTAGCATGGGAGTATGTGATCCCCCTCCAGTGCAGAGAAAGTAGCCAGTGGTGAATATCAAAGAAATGGCAACTGGTATTGTAACGTTACAGTCAATTGAAGGTGCGAACCAAACAAAGCCATCGCGGTGATGTAGACGAGCGCTCGGCTTAACGCCGGCTGGATCTCTGCTTTCTTGGTGATGCTGTCTGTCATCCTCGCAGATATTTTGAGACGAATGGGAATATTTTTGTGTGAGAAATTGGAAATCAGTTTTATTTCCTCGCAAGATGGTTAACAAGAATTCTCAAAGCAGCAGCTCTGCCCTGGTGTTTAATTAAGTAGGCTATAGATTGAAATTGAAGGCAGGTGTTACAGTATATGTCCTAGGGCACCGCTTTTATCCTTGATTGAACCGTTTAGCGCGAAAGTAAAACGTAAACCCTATCCTTGAAAGCCAGACTTTCAACCGGCGTCCTAAATAAAGACAGTGAAAAATGAGTTCTTCTTTTGGCTCTGTTATATAAAAGGAAAATGAAAAAGATGACCCAGAAAAAAACACTCAAGGGCTGGATAAAGTTCTGAGAATCAAGCACAGCACTGTTTTAATAGAGTATTTGTTAGTTAATAATTTACTATACACTTAAAGGACTTCAGATACAGTGGAATGAAGTTGTTTTATTATTTTCCAAAGATGCTGGATGAAAATCATCATTTAATACAGTGCATAATGGATTACCAAAGCAAAGGCAAGACGGCTGAATGCACACAGTAAGTGGTTTCGTCTTTCCTCCCTGACCAGTACCTGCTAAATATCAAAGCACAATTAAGACTGGTTTTCTTCTTCTTCTTCCTCCAGGTATCAGCAGATCCTGCACAGAAATCTTGTTTACTTGGCCACAATAGCTGATTCAAATCAGAACATGCAGTCATTACTACCTGCGGTAAGTGTGATTTGTGACTCCAGTAATGGCAACTATGAAATATAAGTATACACTGTGTCCACTGAGAAAATAGAACATTAATCGAAAACAGAAAATAGATGCATATAAATACAGTGTGAAAAAAATGAACTGCATATCATTTATGACTGCCACTACTTAAATATTACGTCTCTACACCTTTAGCCTCCGACTTCCAGTATGTCTTTGGGTCCTGGAGGGATGGGCCAGAGTGGGGGACATGCTCAAAGTAACCTCAATGACAACATGGGACCAGCACTGCCCCCGACATCAATGATGCAGAGCCAAATGAGTAATGGTGAGAGTTAATTGCATACCTGCGTTTTACAGATAAGCCCTGAATCACTTATTTCGGCCCAAAGATGCCTCCCGATTTTGTTGTCTGTCCAGTGTCTTGCTTGCTCGTCTGATTCTGACTTAGTTGCATGTTTGTCTGCAGACACAGTACCATGTCTTGTCTGCCACAGTGCCCGCACTTCTATATTGCTTCATTGCCTTTAAGTATCTGTGGCTTTAAGTTCAGCCAATGAGTCAGATTGTTTCACAGTTATGTTACTATATTCCCTCTTCTTGTGAAAAAAATATACACACATCCTTAACGTGCGTTACTCTACCTTTGTTCAACCATGCACGTCTCCTGTGAAGATGAACTGAATGTGGGGCCGTGGTTAACATGATATGGCACCACAGGGGAATGTGTGGTGGCTGCTCTGACTGTGCGTGTGTGTTGTCAGGGCCCAGCCATGCCCCCATGCAGCAGCAGTCTGGTCAGGTGCAGTCGGCTATTCCCTCCACCTCCCTCAGCCTGCCAGCAAGCAGCTATGGCAGCTCGCTCCCTGGGTACAGCCACGCTGCGCCCTCCTCCCAGGGCAGCATGATCCAGGGCCCTGGGCCTGGTTATGGCTCTTCCTCCTCTTCTTCCTCCACATCCTCATCCTCTTCTTCCTCCTCCCGCAGCAACCTCAACATGCATTCCAACCAAGGTGAGCCAGGTATCGTAAAGCCCAGTCGTCAGGAATTGGTCTCTAAACCATCATGATCTGATAGTCAGGAGTTACCATCTCTCGAGATGCAAGATGCCGTACTTGTTTTTTACTTGTTTATGTGTATTATACAAGATTTGGCATTTAGAGGATGGGAATGATGAAAATAATCTTTTCAAGTTTTCAGGGTGAAATACTGTACATGGTAGCTGTGCCCCTTTTGAGCTTGCATAAAAAACATGCTTGCATGCATATCTTAAACTTTCCTCCTGTGTAACAGACAAATACGAAACACATTCAGTTCATCAGTGAGGTGTCCTGCCTCCCTCCTTCTTCCCTTTGCTTCAGGTTTAACTTCTCCTACTTTTTGAGATGCACCCCTTCTTTCCCTGGATGTCCGTGTGTATTTATCGTACTTCTGTTAAAGCGCCGACTTCGCTGGCTTTGTTTACACTTAAAGCAGCATCTTGAAAGCATTTCTTTAAAGATATTTTTTTAAAAGACCCTTGACTGCTGTATGCTATGGATCCCTTTTGGCTTTCCCCCTGTGTCCTGATTGCCTTGGACCTCCTCCTACATTTGTTTGTTTGTGTAACTATACACATTTCTGTCAGGCTCAGATCTGGAAATTCTGCTTATGCTCCAGAAGGCTGTGCATTCTGAAGCATAAGCAGGATTTATCAGCATTATAGATGAAGTTTATCTCTATATATTAATGTACAAGATCTCCCCCTCCCCCCAAACAATCCCACCTCCTCCACAGTCTCCATGATGCACCAGCAGTCTGCCACACCACACTACTCCTCAGCCCAAGCTGGGGGGCAACATTATCAGGGACAGCAGGCTATGGGCATGATGGGTCAGGGCAGTCAAGGAAACAGCATGATGTCTCAGAGGCCCATGGGATCCTACCGCTCTTCTCAGCAAGGTAGGTGGCAAGATTTCTTTATGCTGCTTTGGTATGGCTGTTGTTTCAGTGAGTTTATTTGGACTGATTTGTGTACTTATGTACACTTGTGTGGGTGGTTGTGTGTGAACACCTGAATGTCTGGCGAATAGTTTTCCAGGTCTTCCAAGTGTGACGGTGGTTGCCAGTATCTAAGTTTTGAGATGGATTGAGATGAAAGCCATAGTTGCTGCAAAAGCCCCTGATAAGTAGGTAGTATTGGTAGTATGATGTTCCAAGATTATAAAACGAGAGTGATATTAGACATCTGGAATTGTGTAGGCTCTAGTTGCCTTCCTGTAACTTTAAGAAGTAGCCTGGAGATGTATCACTTGTGTCACTTTAAGTTCCCATCTCTGTAAATCACCTAACTTGCAATGTCAGTGCGTGCCTAATAATAGCTCCACTCTGTCCCTTTGTGTCTTTCAAAGGGTGCAGGCTTTGAAGGCATGTAGTAACTTAGATTTAGAAGAAGCATGTGATACTAATTCCAGTGCAACAGGCCGTACCCTATTGCATTATAGTGTGAAGTGCTTCTAGATAGATGTGTGTTACAGGAATATTGTGTCCATGGTTAAGCTGTGTGGATTTCCCACCAGCCTTTGGTTGTGCAGCAGCTGGAAGGGATATTTTGATTATCTATAGCTAATTGGTCATATCTGGAAGTGCAAAAGACATGTACAGTTGTGGTGATAAGTTTATATGCACTCATCATGGACATGGATGTCATGGTAATCTGGCGTTTCAAATGATTTGAATGATTTCTCTGAACTGTTCTTGGAATGATTGTACAGCAATCAGTTGTCTTTAGTGCACTTGTTGTTAATTTAATGAAACTGAAACCAAATATTAGTGTGGATGTATGTATATATTGTAACCTGTCTGAACCTGTGTGAATCTGAATTTATTGAATTAAAGATGTATGTTGTACAATCATTCCACCCCAGAAAAATCATCAAAACCCTGAAATTTGCATGACATCTGCCCATGGTGAGTGAATATAAACTTCTGACCACAACTGTATGTTTTAGATTGCTTTGGTATGAGTGCGTTCTGTGATTCTGCCCATCTTTGTATGGAATTTTTGGCTTTGTTGTAGATTGAAGGGAGATTAGACTATGCTGACTTTTGTTGCAGTTTTCAGAGTACTTGTTATTTTGTAATTTTTTTATTCTCTAAGATCCAGTTCAGATAAAAAAAAACAAAAACGGAAGTGGAATCTGGAGTTTCTGCACACCACCACCAAACAAATCCTAATTTTCCAGAATAACAGACCTTCTGTACTTCACACTTTATCTTCAAAAATTGCATATCATGCATTTTTCATTCAACCAAGCAGTGCAATTGTTTCACTTCAATTACTAAATCTAAAATTTGGATAAAAAAATAAATCTTCCTTCATATTATTTTTTATTTAATATTATCAATTTAATCTATTGAAAATCATTTTCAGTGACTTGTACAGTACTCTATTTACACATAAGTTATAAAACATCATTACTGTAATATTAATTATTTTTATTTTAAGCTATTTTTAGTTCTCCTGGCCACAGCCATGTCCAACACATGGCCAGTTGGTTTGACCAGTTGTTTAACCAATCATGGTCTTACCTGTCTTGCAGGATCTGCACAGCAGTACATGGGACAAGACGAGTTCTACGGAGAGCAGTATGGACACACTCAGAGCTCCAGCGAGCCCATAAACCAGCAGTATTACCCTGATGGTAATCGTGCACATCCATAAACTTCATACACACAGCTTTCAAACACACAACCCGCATTGTAGGTCATTCCATTTCCCTTTAGCACTGTCCTACAGGCCTGAGCCAGATTTATTGCTGAAGCTCTTCCTCCCAACTTTTCACTGTGGGAGACAAAAGTAATGAAAAAAAAATTGAAAACTCTGACATTGGTCTATTTTCTGCCACTGTGTCTGTGTCCATACTGTCCCCTTTGGTGTGCCGAAATTTCAGATTTCAGAGAGCGATATAGCAGCGTGTCACAGAGAGAGCTCAAACTTCATCTGGGGTGGTTTTTTAAAAAAAAATGCTTTGTGTAATACGTTGAAGTGAAAAGGCTGGCAAAATGGTGTTCGTGTGAAAATTTGTTGACAGACATTTATTATGAATGTTTCAGCTGCAACCTGCAAATAATAACTTATCTTTCGTCTGTCACTGGATTTTGCCTTAGCAGAGGAGTTTTTGCATGTGTTGAATCGTGTTCTCTGCAGGTCACGGGGAGTATTCATATCAACAGTCCTCTTATGGGGAACAAGGGTATGATAGATCATTTGATGAATCCTCACAACATTACTATGAAGGAGGTAATAACATTTCTTAATTTAAATTGCATTTCTATATTTTATTGTTTAAATAAATACTTAACTATAGTAATGTGCATCTGATATGTCTACCTCCAGGGAACTCTCAGTACAGTCAACAGCAGGCCCAGTATCAACAGAGCTCTGGCCAGCAGCAAGCCTTCAGCCAACAGCAGTACTCTTCTCAACAAGGCTACAGTGGACAGCCCCAGGGATATGGTGAGAGTGACTCATACAGTCGTTTTTGTGCATCCAGGCAAATTTAAACACGCACATAAAATAACTGAAAACATCCACCTAATTGAACTCCTGTGCTACAGGTCCAGTCCAGGGAGGATCGTCTCAATATTCTCAGTATCAGCAGAGTCAAAGCCAACAGTATGGATCCTACCGATCTTCCCAGGGAGGCCCTGGAGCGCAGACGCAGAGGCCGTTCTCCTATGAACAGGTACATGAGATGTTTTAACTTAAAGCAAAATGTATGTATTATTTAGGTATAGACATACTGTCACAAGTCTGTGCACGAAACAAGAGTAATAAAATAACACAGGACCTTGCTAGACCCCCTTTGTCTCAAAGGATTGTAATTGAATTTGACCATGATCTAAAACACTGTTTCCTGTTTCCTTATATAATTACACAGAGCAACAGAAAATCAGATTCATGTAGGACCAGTGAAGTAAAAAAAGATGTTGTAGTGTGTGTCTGTTTTAGTACTAATAGAAACATATACTCTGAAAGCACCATGCAGACAGTTGTGGTCAGACGTTTACATGCATTCATCATCAGCATGAATATGGTGTAACTGTTCATTTCCCACGGTGGAGAGCATGCATCTTTAATGAATAACTTGTTCTTATGTACATGCTTCTTTAATGACTTAAAAACCAAGAATTGGGTGCACATCTTTGAAATTATTTTTGGGTTTTCTGTAATCCACACAGGCTCAAAATGTTATATACAGACTAAAATATATACCTACATCTCCAGTAGTATTTGGTTAAATGTTATTTAGCAATTTGCACCTCAACCAGACACTTCTAGTAGCCATCAACAAGCTTCTGACATAATCCAAGTTCAGTATTTGGCTGCTCTCATTGGCAGAACTGGTGGAGTTAATTTAAATTGGCTGGTTTCCCCTTTGAAGCATAGTCCAAAGATTTTCAGATTTGCAGATTCCAGTTCATTTCATGTTTGAACCTTGGGAATTCCCTGGGTTGTTTCTGAATATCCTGAACAATTTCCTCTCATCTGAGGGTGACATTTTGGTCTTCTTCCAGATCCTGGCAAAGTAGTGACACATCTGAATAATTTATATTTATGTAATTTATGTAAAGCGCTATATAAATACAGGCCATTTACCATATTTATTTATAATTGTTTGAATTAATGATCCTGGAATCTACAGCTGTTTTGAATTGGTTCTAAGAGACCGTCCCAACTTGATTAAATCTACCATTCTCCTTTTTAGATCTCCACTTTAGAGTTTCCCAGACATTTCCCATTGTTTTAAGTATCGGTCTACATCTTGAAGATGTATGTTAGAGTCATTCCACCAAAAAGAACAGTTCAAAAAATAACTAAAAACCAAATATTGTCTTTAAATTGATGCCCATGATGAGTATATGTAAATGTCCAACCACAACTTTAAGCAGTATATAAATAAATAAATAAATAAATCCAATTAAACATATATTTTTTCTAATTTCAGGGTCAATATGGAAATTATCAGCAATGAGGCAGCACAATGTTTTGCTGGTGGAAGAAAATGTGCGATGGAACATTCAACAGTAATGAACTGGGCTCAGCTATGGATTAGATCAGGCTGCCATCAGATTTATTATCCTCTCATTACTCATCATTCTAGCTAAAATAATTAATCCAGTCAAATGTGATGCTTCCCTCCTCTGTTTTAATTTCAACAGGGTTGTAGCTGGTTGTGGTGCTTGCAAAACCAAGGCAGTTAATGTAACCATTCTATACAAGCTACTAAAAAGGGCGCTGTGGAGTTGTCACATGCACCTCAGCCACATGCACAAATAAACTTGTTCTCTGTCCCCTACCTTTATTGTTTTAAGAGCTTTTGATGTTATTTTATTTTTGGTGCACAGCGCAAGTGAGACTGTGGGAGTACAAAAAAAAGCTTATTAGCCTTGAAGAGAATATTCTTTGATATTTGATAGAAGACTATAAATCTTGCTCTTATTCCTGGTATAAACACTGTTATATCTCATGGTACATCCTTAAAAAAAGGTGAAAATGTTGGTCGTTAAACCTGACTTGATCATGGGGTTTGTCTGTGTTAGTCAAACTGTGATGTGTTGCTGTGTGGTATAACATTATGTGTTTTCACTCTCTACATATGTCTTGCTGAGGTAATCGACATAATAGATAGTTGACAGACGAAAACTTAACAATGTGTATCATTGTCCATGATAATCTTACATCGTGGTAGTATTTTTGACACTATATTTTGAGTGGCATCGCTCTGCGCCGGCTTATAGCGTCTGTGCAGAGGTAAGGAGTGTTGCGCTCTGATGCCATAAAGTAATGATTTTTACATAAAATTGCATTGCCACTTTGTCTGCACTTTATTTTACAGTGACAGTGTATGTATTGTCTAATATTTTGTATCGTAGCGTGATTCAGGCTGTTTTTAAGAGATGATACTCAAAAAGCCAAAGTAACACAGGAACAGAACAGTAACATGTCCTGCACCTCAACTTCAATAAGTGCAATACACTCAGCTCCGTCAGTCATGTTGAGGTTGGCTCTTACGGTGAACTTTACGTGATTATATGTAGTTTTTTTTTGTTTGTTTGTTTGTTTTGTTTTTTTACATACAGCTGTGATAAAGACAGAGATCGTTTGTCTCAAGTTATTCAGTGTTATGTTACAGGAAAAGAACAGAATGTGATAGACTATTTAAGAATATTACTTCTTTATTTACGTGACTTAGAGGCAGATATGTGAATATATCAAACATAAATCTTACTACTTTAGCAGTTTTTTTTCTTTGTAATTTTTTTTTATTGCTATTATTTGTATTAGATCAAGGAATTCATGTAAGAAAAATAATACAATTGTTGCAGCAGTATAATTTTTGTTCATGTACAAGAATTTACCTTTTTCATATTTATTATCGATCGATCTATCTGCAAGTTATTTCTTTGTTTATTTAGTTAAAAAGAAATCAGACAACTTTTTTTTTTATTTCTGTGGTTGTGAGGGTCCAACTTAGCAGTATTCTGTTATAACATCTTGTTGTAACTCAACTTACCTCAGAGGGGAAGAATAACACAACAACTGTGGTCATTCTGCAGGGGTTATCAAGGATGGGAGATACCTGGCTGTCAAACAGCTGATTAACTATGTACCACTCAACACTGACAATCACAGGCGTCTCTAAATTGGTATCAGTTTCTCATTTTTACTGTGAACCAAACATGTGCGGCAAGTTGTTTTCCAGTTCTACGTAGTGTGTCATCACTCATGGGTGGTATGCCTTGTTAGTGTGCGTGTCGGTGTGTGTGGATGTGCGAGAAGGAGAGTTTGATGTGCATAATCCAAATATGAATGTTATCTACTTATCTATTGTAAGACTGCATCGCCTGATTTTTTCTGCTGTCTTTTGTTACTATTTGCTATACAAAAATAAATTGACATTCACCTTTTGTGTGTCTGGATTTTGTCATCTGAACGTGAGTCAGAGATTCTTTAATATTTCATTGTATGCTCATTGGTCACTTCATTAGGCACACCTGTTCTTCAGATTACTAGGCAATAATTTAGACAACTTATTATGCTCAGGTTTAAGCCAAGCATCAGAATGAGGAAGAAATGTGATTTCTTTACTTTGTAGTTGCTGGTGCCTGGTGGGCCATCTCTAGGGTTTCCAAAGAAGGGTCTCAAAAAGAGAAAATATCCAGTGAAGAGCAATTCAGAGTAAAAATGTCGCCAGAGAAGAATGGCCAAACTGCTTTGAGCTAAGAGGAAGGCAGCTTCTTAAATCTATTCAAAGAAGAAGTAAGGCAATTTTAAAGGCAAAAGGGGGTTTCAACCTGGTACTTGTAAGGTTTACTTAATAAAGTCTCCATCATGTGTAGATTGCAACATGGTTAGGTCACAACCAAACTTCAGGAGCCCTTTTTTTGTTAAGGTAGACACATTTTAGAGTTTTGAGTTGAAAATATGAGTTCTTTGGCGGTTCAGGTATGAGGTTTTCCTTTCTTTTGTAGCACAGCAGGTGGCGGTAGTGGACCGCAAAGCAACGGCAAAGACTGATTTTGACCGGTGGGGCTTCCGTAGATGTGTTGGTCGTAGTCAGTAAACGTGTGATGGGTAGTTGCGATCGTTTTGAAAACGCCAAATAATTATACATATATAAGGGAAATCCATGAATGGACATTTAGATTTTATAAACCCTTACCTAGTTCCCCGATAGTTTCCTGTTTATCACGCTGGTGGAGATGCGTATTAACATAAACGGTCGACGTGACATTGACAGATCGCTTTTAGCTACTTTAAAACTGTAACCGGTGTCTGTTTGTTGAACGCTATAATGTTGGCAGCGTTGTCTCGATTTAAAATCCCTCGCCGACCATCCTCGGAATTACTTTTAAGATGTATTTTCGAACAAAAGGTCGAAAGAGGTGAGCTGAGCCCCCTCACACTCAGTTCTGTGACTTGCAGTAGGAAAGTCGGCGGTGTCAGAGATGTCAGCACCTCGAGTACATTGTGCACCAAAGTCCGCGGAAACTCCAAGAAAACGGAGATGTCTGAAAAGAAACTGGTATGTTAAGTTAAAGCGTATTTTACACGTCTTATTTCTCAGGATATTTGCATATTTACAAAGCATAAACACACCTGTCGTGGAGACTATCAGAGTCGTAAGCATGGTTCACTCTACTGTGAAATTGCTTCTTTTTGCGCCTCACAGACCCGTCACTTTGTGGACCACCGCCGTGTGAAGCTGGTGGCTGGGTCAGGGGGTAAAGGGGCCAGCAGCTTTCACAGTGAGCCTCGAAAAGAGTGGGGTGGACCGGATGGAGGGAATGGAGGTGACGGAGGAAGCATCATTATAAAGGGTAAGTTTGATTGGTTACAGGAATGTTTATTTGCACTATTTGCTATGTAGAAGTCAATATACTCTCAAGAGCAAACATACGGTAATTTTTCAATCTTCCGTTGTTCAGTTTCTGTGAGCCTGTGTGAATTGAAGCCTCAGCTTTTTGCTCTTAGCTGGCAGGAGTGGCGCCCGATGTAGTTTTTATGCTGCTGTAGCCCAACTGCTTCAAGGTTCAGCAGGTTGTCTTCCTATCAGCTCACCTCTGACCTCTGAAATCAACAAGGCATCTTCACCTGCTGAGAACTGCTGCTCACTGGATATTTTCTCTTTTCAAGACTGTTATGTATAAATCTTTGAGACCATTGTGCTGGAAAATTCCAGTAAACGAGTTTCTAAAATACTCACACCAGCCCTCCTGGCACCAACAATCCAGTCACATTCAAAGCAACTTAAGTCATGTTTCTTCGCCATATGATGCTCTGTTTAAACTTGAGCAATTGGTCTTGACCGTGTCAAGATGTTTTATACATTGAGATGTTGCCATCTGATTAAATATATGTTTTAATGAGCACCTGGTGTACCTAATGAAGTGGCCGGTGAGTGTGTATAGACAGGAACCAAAGCCAGGATCAAATGGACAATAAATTCTTCAATAAGAATGAGTTTCTTCATGCTTTTATACGTATTCCTTTTTTGTCTGCTTTCAGCTGACCGCTTTGTCAAATCATTAGCACAAGTAGTTCCACTTTACAAGGGGGAGGATGGGGAATCGGGAGGCAGCAAGAACTGTTATGGTCGGAATGGCAGCCCAACCTACATTCGTGTGAGTCCCTGCATTTCATCATAAATGGCACCCACTTTGATCATGAGTCTGGCCTGACCTTACTTAACCTATCCTGTGATGTTTTGTGTGTGTGTGTGTGTGTGTTTGCTTTTTTAAATCTGTAAAGGTACCATTAGGAACTGTAGTCAAGGAGCAGGGCAAAACCATACTGGACATGACTGAGCATGGTCAGGAGTATCTTGCTGCATTTGGAGGGGCTGGAGGGAAAGGGAACAGATTCTTTCTGTCAAATGAAAACCGTTCTCCAATGACAGCTACTCCTGGAATAACAGGCCAGGAGCGGCTCCTTCAACTGGAGCTTCGTACCATGGCACATGCTGGACTTGTGAGCAGACCCTGTTTCTGAAGAGAAAACTGGCGTCAGACTTTTCATCAATGCAGATGTATTGAAGTGTTTTTATTCTCTTTCATCCCATCAGGTTGGCTTTCCAAACGCTGGGAAATCATCTCTGTTGAGAGCCATCACCAATGCTAGACCTGCTGTGGCTGCTTACCCTTTTACAACTCTCAATCCTCATGTGGGCATAGTCAAGTACAGGGATCATGAGCAAGTTGCAGGTGGGTGGTTTTAAGCAAAGATTCTAATTGTCTATTGTAGGAGACAAAAAAAGGTTATTATTATAGTATATTACAGTATGATAAAGTTGAATGATGTTGTGATTTTTTTTTATCTTAACTTTATGCAGTTGCTGACATCCCAGGGATTATTCGAGGAGCCCATCTAAATCGAGGCTTAGGAATCTCCTTCTTGCGCCACATAGAGCGCTGCCGTTTCCTCCTTTTTGTTCTGGACTTGTCAGCTCAAGAGCCCTGGACCCAGCTCCAACATTTGCGTTATGAACTGGACCAGTATGAACCTGGACTGTCCCAGCGGCCTCAGGCTATCATAGCCAACAAAATGGACCTATCTGAGGCCCAGGAAAAGCTGGAAACTCTTAAAAGCCACGTTTCCCAGAGGGTCATCCCTGTTTCAGCTCTCACAGGACAAAACACAGAGGAGCTCATTCTCTACCTGAGAGAGTTGTATGATGGCTACATCCAAGGGGGAGGTAATGGGTGAAGGGAGATTCAGTGGTAGGAAAAACTGGCTACTTGCTTAATAGAAAATGTGTATGATGAATATTTATATTGGACAATTTAGTCAGTATTTTAATTTCTCAATAAATAAATAAAATAATAAATAAAACATAAGAGTTTGGTGTTTAATTAATGATGGTATTTACACATACAATATTTAAATGTATTATTTTATAAAAGATGAACAGCAAAAAAGATTTTCAATGCTGCCTTTAAGTTTTACTTGATCAATTTTTTTTAAGATATGATTTGTCAGGAACAAAGTTATTGAGAGTTGAAAGTAGATGGAATTCCTTGCTAAACCAGCAGAGGGCATGTTTGTCATGTTTTATTGAACCTCAGTGGTAGTTATGTAAATAAAGCTCCATGTAGTCAAAGTAAAGACATCTGAGGGTTTGTGGAGAACTTAGTACAGTTACTGTGGTGAGCAGGGAACTTCAATTGATTTTTACAAGCTCATAAAAAGATTGGTGGTTGTGTATGTGTGTGTAAATCTTTAGAAAGTGGTGTCACTACAAACTAATATTTTGGGGTAAATCTAAATATGACTTGCAGCTTTCTCTCCTGGAGCTGATGTGGTTTCAGAAATGTGTGTTAAATTTTCTGTCAGTGAACGTTATATGAGTTTTGAATTGAACAGAGTAAAATAGCCCATTATTGTCATTGTACGTTGTGGGTACACCGCAGCAACTGTGCAGGAATAAATAACAAACAGGAGAAATATATACAAAATGCTTGGTCAGAGTAGAGACTATGTCTGAAAAGCCCAGGGGAAGAAGGAGTTTGAGAGAGAGATATGTGTAAAATGCTAATTATAAAATCAGTACAGCCAGTTGGATAAACGTTGTTGTCTATCTGAGTTTATAATTTATAATGTTTATAATTTGATTATCAAGTCTGGTCCTCCTTTCATGTGGAAGCAATGGGCCACATTCCTAGCTAATATGGTATAGCTCTTTGTGCACTTTGCGCAAAACAAACCATGTTAATAAGCCATATTCATTTTGTAAGTCTAAATGCGGTTTTTAAATAATTAAAAAAGCTTTCAATTACAAAGCTGCACAATCACGTTCCTCCACCAGGGGGTGAAAGAATCAACAAAAAACAGCCCGGATGCGCTGCAACTTTTAAAGTTAAATTTTAACAAAGGATTTGATAATGTTTGCAGGCACAAATAATAATTGCCATATCATTGTAACCTGTTTCTGGTCAAAAGATAAATAGACCTTCCAACTCAGGTTTGTTCACCATCATCTGGAAAAAAAACAAAGATTTTTTTTTTCTCTTTAGCTAACAGCGGTTTTCTTCACGAGCTAGCATAATAAGTGTGTCCTGTTTGGTGTTGTAAGTCAAGGATCAAGTAGACCGGAATTTCGCTATATATGATCTTTTTTCTTAACCAACATGAGGTTAAGAAGTCTGTAAAACCTCATAGCTGATTTTATTTCCTTTTTACTTTATCTCTGGATAAGTTAATTTAAAACAAAAATGTAACCCAGGCAATTCGATTTAAAGGAAGAGGACACTCAGCAATTTCTCCACTTTTAATTAAGTGTAGGGATGAACCTTTACAAGAGGTACTTACATCACTTTCCAGAATAAATTTGTTCTTTTGCTGGTCTCTTCAAATAGGTTATTTGAAAGAGCTGCAAAACACTATGCTTGATAGTTGGTATGAAGCATTTATGCTGATGCTCTCTGTAGTTTCCTCTTAAGACCAGACTTGGTCTGGTCTGTTCAAAGGACATGTTCCAGAAGGGTTTGTTCAGATACAGCTTTGTAAACCTAATCAACACTGTCATGTTTCCAGAGAGAAAATGCTTTCTCATTTCAAACAATTCATAGGTTTTCTGTCTTTTTCTTATTGTGCTCTCATTAACTTTAACATTTAACAAGCTAATTGAGGCCTACATAGTTAACAATTGTGGCATTCTGTTAACATACGCTCCCATTCTTCAGACTTGAAAACTGCTAAAACCTCTGCCTGCACTTGCTGATCATAACAGAAACATTTTTTAAGTTGTATCTTCAGGCATTTTGTTACTAACAGCCTGTCACAAAAACATAATTTGTTCTGATTCCAGGAGTTTATTTATAGGATTGTCGGTAGATTAAC